GGGCCACCAGGAACAGAACGGCCTGAGCCACCTCGGGGGGCGTGCCCAGCCTGGGGGGACAGCAGGGTCACTGGGACGGACTGGGAGGAACTGGGAGAGACTCGGAGGGAACTGGGAGGGACTGGGAGCGACTGGGAGGGGGCTGGGAGGAACTGGGACGGACTGGGACGGGACTGGGACGGGTGTAAGGGTCACTGGGACGGACTGGGGGGGAACTGGGAGGGACTGGGAGAGACTGGGAGGGGACTGGGAGGGACTGGGAGGGGATTTGGGGTCACTGGGAGGGACTGGGGTGAACTGGGATGAACTGGGGGGACGCTGGGGGTTACTGGGAGGCACTGGGAGAGAACTGGGATGAACTGGGATCAAACTGGGATGAACTGGGATCAAACTGGGATGAACTGGGATGGAATTTTGAGGTTACTGGGATGAACTGGGAGAGACTGGGATAAACTGGGATGAACTGGGATCAAACTGGGATAAACTGGGATGAACTGGGATGAACTGGGATGAACTGGGATGAACTGGGCTGAACTGGGAGAGGCCTCCCTGCTCCCCCTTCCATTTAAACCACTAAAACAACCAAAAAAAACCAAAAAAAAACAAAAAAAAAATTTAATTTTTTAATTTTACCTCATTTTTTTTTTTTCACCATCGGCGCCGAATTTTGGGGAGAATTTTCACGAATTTTGAGGCTCCTCAAATCGACGCCGTTAAAAAAAAATCAATTTTTGCCCTCAAATCCTCAGATTTTGTCCCAAAATGTCCCCAAAAATTTAAAATTTCTGAAGCGAATCGCCTCGAACTCCCCCAAAACCGCGAATTTTGCCTCGAATTTCCCTCAGAAAATCACTCAAAAATGTGATTTTTGACACAAAATCCCCCCCAAAAATATCAGTTTTTTGCCTCAAATCGCCCAAAAAATTGCAATTTTCACCTCAAATCCCCTCGGGGTTTATTCCGAATTTCACTTTTTTTCCCTCAGAATTTCCAAACTCTCCAACTTTTACCCTCAAATCTCCTCACGAATCCCCCCCCCAAAAATTTTAATTTTAATTTTTACCCCCAAATCCCCTCACAAAATCCACCCAAATGTCACTTTTTCTTCCTCAAAACCCTTTTAAAAATTAATTTTTACCTCAAATCTCCTCAGGCCTTTCCTCAAACCGCTCCAAATTTGCGAATTTTCACCCCAAACCCCCTCAAAACTTTTTTTTTTGTTTTTTCTCCTCCCCAAAACCGCGATTTTTATTTTTTCCCCAAACTTTTCCCGCCGCTTCGTAAATTAAATTACTTTAATTCCCGCCGTTAAATTTAACCCAAATCCCCGTTTTTCCCCTCA